TACAACTTTCTCTCTCTGTCTCTTTCTCTCGTACTCTTTCTCTCTGACAATGTGTATGTTTTTCTTTTATTATCTGTCTGTCATTCTATTATTCCTGTTCTCTTTCCCTGTCCTTCCACAAATAACAATCTTTTGTTCAATATTGTTATTTATTTATTTCAGGGCAGCAATTTGGCCATCACTACCGACAAGGAATATCTGAGGGAAGAGATGGAGAACAAAGTGCGCATCCGTCTACATGAAAGTGGCTGGTTCCGCCTCAGCGATAGACAGCCAGTTACGAGGGATGAGATGATGACTGTGTTGTACAGCCTGAGCCGTCTGCTCATCCGCGCTACCTATCACACAGCTCAAGAAACTGTTTTGTGAGTTTCCCCAAATTTTCTGTTTCGTGAATATTCAAAGTAACACACAGAAAACTGGAATTGTGAGTTTGTATGTGTGGGTTTTCCGATTAGTGATATTTGAACAAAACAACACACAGGAAACTGTTTTGTGAGTTTTTACGTGTGGGTTTTCCGATTAGTAATATTTAAACGAAATAAGGCACAGAAAACTATTTTGTAGGCTTTTAAATGTGGGTTTTCCGATTAGTGATATTTAAACAAATCAACACACAGAAAACTTGTTTGTGAGTTAGTAAGTGTGTGTTTTCTGATTAGTGATATTTAAACAAAATGACTCAGAAGAAGTTATGCTCTCTCATCCATGTGTGGCAGCAAATTATATTTGCCCTATTTTCATAGTATTTCATTTTACAATTCACAGCACACAGGTTCGTATTTTGAAGATGATACAATTTTGTTTTGTTCTCAGCCTGAAGAATGTCTACATGGACATGGCAAGCCCTCTGGTCATGGATGGAAGCTCTTTACCATCTGTTGAACAATGCAGATGTCCTCAGGGCTATGCTGGACTGTCATGTGAGGTATGTAATGCTGCATTCTGTTCAGTGTGTTGTCTGTCTTACAATCTACCCCAACAAATTGTTGACAGAGAGTTTACACATGGTGCTAGTGGAGATAAGTAACTGGTGGAGATTTTTTGTTATTTGTGAAGCATTTCTTTAAAACAAATAATAAAAATTAATTTGTTTGATCTTTCTGATCGTTTTGTATCTCCCAACTGAACGGTGATGCTGAAGTGTTTATCAAGAATTTACTCCTTTCTGATATTTTAATGACCTGCATCTGTGGTGTACTGGTAAGGCTCCATTCAGTTGTAGGCAGAGTATGTGGGTTCAGTTTCGACTTTTGGAAGTTGTTTTATCTAGTTCCCCCAGTATTGTTTTTTCTCGGGATATTCGAGGGTTTGGCTCGTTTGAAGACTATTTGGGGTGTAAATTATTCACATACCTTTTAGAATGAAACAGGAACAATTATACCACCTAAAATCAATCCAAATCAAGACTTTTGTAATGAATACCTACTGATAATACACTTTCAACTACCATTTCAAAACATTTGCTTGACAAAATGGATTCCTAAATAGCTTCAGAACAATAATTTCACAACACTTGAAAGTGTGCCTGTTGTATTTCTTTACCTATTTGTGATGCAATGGTATGGCTTTTTATGTTACATGCAAAGAGAATGTGTCTTTCTCCTTGAATATAATGCTGTTAGCCTGACAGTTGGCCTTCTTACTTACTTACTTAGGCCTACTTATCCCTTAGTCTAGAAGACCGTTTGAGTACCAAGGATGATCAGGCAATCACTTTTCTCCATCCTTCTGTCACTATTTCTGCTTCTTTCTTATTCTGTCATACCATGATTTATTGCAACAGAGCTGCTCTCCTGGATGGCGCCGCGTGGAGAACCAACTGTACGGAGGACGGTGCCAGCAATGTCAGTGTTACGGCCATGCCTCTGGCTGTGATCCTGTCACTGGAGACTGCATGGTGGGTTTTTAACCATTATCTTTTTTGTATGTGTATTTAGGATTCATAATCGATGATTGTGTTTTTATTTCTGACGGGCACCCCACACTACATGCCTAACAAGGGATTAAGATTTAAAAGCTGAAATTAGAAGTTTGGCTAAGGAGGTTAATATATAGCTTTGTGTGTCTTCCATTAAGATAATAAATGATGACTTTAGACAATATGTTTTTAGTTGTAATTTGAAGTATATGAATGCTTAGTTTATAAAGTTGTTTTCTTCATGGTGACCAGCAATCCTAGTTCGAATTTGTTATAAGACTTTAAAAACCTTTTTTCGTTTAGTATTTATATAAATCTAATTTAATTTTGATTCGTACTGTCAAAAAAGGGTTCCAATTTTAGGTGTTGAAAGTTGATGTAAAGTTGTCTACTTACCCAGGTACTGATCTGTTTTTCATGTTTCGTAGAGGGAAGTGTGAAAATACAAGTCAGTTTCTGAATTCTGATTTCTATTATTCTGTAATATCCAGGACTGTAGACACAGCACAGCTGGAGCTAGGTGTGACCGCTGTCTGCCAGGGTTCTATGGCGACCCCCGACGAGGGTCGCCAGATGATTGCAAGCCTTGTGCTTGTCCACTGACCACTGGTAACAATTTCTTTGCTGAGAGATGTGTTGCCAGGCCCACTCTGGAAGATCGGGATGCATATGAGTGTGTCAATTGCCAGGAAGGGTATACTGGAGCTAGATGTGAGATGTAAGTGCAGATGGAATGACTATGTCTTTCTACCATCATATTAGGCGAAAAGCGTTACATCTAGAAGCTGAAATTGTCAAGATTTATTGGGCATTTTTGGCATTTCATTTCATATTCTATCTCATTCTTAGAAATGTATTTTCTAGTCATAAATGTATGTAGGCCTACACAGGATGTATTAAAATTGATTTTTTGTCCAGCTTATTTTATAAATTCCCCTTTTTTTTCTTTGTAAAGGTGTCTTTTGAAATGAAGCTTATTGAAAGGATTTTTTTCTCAATTTTCACTCATAAGCAAGTCACAGAAAGATATACAGTGCCAAAAATTGTTTATAGTACACTGTTTTTGGAAGGTTATCTAGTTTCTTCAATGACCTTGGAGTTGTGTTTCATGTTGCTACGGTATTTTAAAAAAATATTCATGTAGCATGGGTTCCTGATTACAGAATATTGATTTTTACTGATGATGTTACTTGAGTGAGTGGTTTGAGGGTCCTACTTCTGTACTTTCCTACTGTCTTTCCTGTCTTTTTTTTTTCTCTTTCCTGACTATTATTGTTCTGGTCAAAGATCCAATCAATGAGTTGAGGAGGGGAGATCAATCCATAATCTTCCAACTTAAAACACAACATGTACCCCTCAACCAACATCTCAACCGAATTGGAGTAAAGCAGTCTGCTGCCTGCCCACTATGTGACTACCCCTCAGAGACAGTGGAACATTATCTGTTATTCTGTAGAAAACTAACTGATTTAAGGGAATGTTTTCTTCCCAAGCTACCCCACACATCTAATTGCCTCTACTCCTCAAGACAACAATTAGAAGAAACATGCAACTATTACCGAATAGCATCATGCAGAAGAGTTAACGCTCAGATGCTACTGGATCGCTAACAACAACATAACAA